TGGGCAGCCTTTATCCAAAGGATTTCAAATTCAGCAGATGTATATTATTCCAGTGACTCTAATGGAGAAGTTGGATGCTACATGAAAGATCCTAGCTCTCGTCTATTAATTACCATCTTCATCTACTTTTTTCTCCCTCCTACCATCCAGTAAGAACAAGAAGTAATGAAATAACTTCTATGTGAAGAGATACAACCTTGTTTAATGTATCAGCTAAGTTTTAACTAAGGAAAAAAAAAAATACAGCCCAAAGAGAAAGGAACAGTAACTTGGTACAAAAGAACAAAAGGAATCCTTCTTCACTCTGTTCAACTTCCAAGGTGACACTGAAAAGGTAAGACAGTTACTGACAAAAGCAAGGGAAATAAAAAACTTTTGTTCTACAGACCTGTGGCAAAAGAAGCTTTTACCTCTACACAGGTGCATTTCATCAGCCCAAGAAAAGACAGCTTCCTGATACTACAGTGGAGCATGGGGTTTCCAGTAGTAGTTTCCATTATAGTATGAAATCTATTTCTACACTATCAGCCCTCAAAAAATTTTGAAAAAAGAAAAAACCCACACAAAGAAGTGAGTTCTGCTAGTTTTTAGAGTGAATAGCAGATAATGCTGCTGTTGCAAATGAATTGCTTGAGTGAGAGATGACACAAAACTTTATCACCAGACAGCACAAAGCCATTCTCACAAGAAAAACAGACTTGGGATGATGAGTCTAACTGCTACATTAGCAAAGACAGCCAAGAGAGCTCATAAAACACCATCTTGCATTAGCAAGATCACCTTTCTAGTACATGCACAAGAAAAAATAAACATAATTCAGCTAAAAATAAGCATTTCATATGCTTGTATCCACATCACATGGAGATCTCAAATGGGCTTTAGCTCATTAGGCACTTCATCATGGCAGCAATGAGAGCTTCTCCAAACTGGAACTTTTAAGTCTGGATGGCGCTCCATTAAACTACAATTCAGAGCTTCTGAGCTCCACAACCATCACAGTCTGTTTTACAGTACAGCCATGTCTTGTTATTTTCTCAGCAAACCACATTAAATAAGAGCTAACTACCTGCATTATCTTAGCTAAGTGCTTAGTTGAGCTTTCAGTCTTGGTTTTCTTATCTCCAGGGTCTCTGTAAGACAAGCACAGAAAGCCTTTTTACTGTAACTATTCCCTATATGTTACAAAGCAATCCACCTGATTAAGCTTCTAGAAAAGCCCATATATCTACCAGCAAGTTGTCAGGTTATTTTCACTTTTCTTAAAAGGTCAGTTTTCTCCACCAGGATCTCTATAGGCCAAGTACACGGCCTGGAACAAGAAGGTGCCCTGAAAAAAAAAATCCAAACACCCTGGTGAGCTAACACAAGTCATTTTCCCACACTTAGGCTTTAAAAAATCACTTGAAATGTTTTTTCTTCATGTATCTTGCACTAGTATCATTTTGAAAAAGTCAGCACACATATTCAAACAAACAAACAAAAAGTAGCTCTACAGATTTGAGAAGCCAGCCTAGTTTAAGCAGACTTTTTAAAAAAAAAAAATCACACAGAAAGTCATTTTGAATTCAAAGTTACATGTGTCATACAAGCATTTAATATAGAGATTAAGAAGTTTATCAGATAAGCAGATAACTCAGGTGCCAGAAACATGCTTAGCTGACATGGGAGTGACAACTTTTAACTGTTCAATACAGACAGGCAACATTAGCTGTTATTCACTTGCACTCAGCTTTAGCTGTAAGAACCAAAAATTGCTGACAATTTTTGAAGCACTGCAATGGACTTGTAAAAATGGACAGGCATTACTCCCAGATTATTAATTCAATATACTTGTAAGAGAATGATATGTTGTTTAGAGCCGCAGACACTGTAGGTACAAACGCCCCAAAAAATAAAAGTTGATGCGTGATTAAGCATTTCTAAAGAGAAAAGCTCAAAATTTATGTAAGGATTCCTTAAAAGACTTATGTTGTTACCTTGGAAACATGCTCTGCATCCACCTAAGCACAGTTAGCACATATATCTACATTTTCGATATTCAGCAACAAATATGATGCAAATTCCCTATCCATGGAAAGCCTTTCTGAAAGAGTCTTACACTGTAACCTGAAGGGGCTGAAGTCAAATTAAAACTTCAGTCATACATGGCAGTATTACGAAAGAGATAAATGAGTCAAACGAAGCCAAAATTGTTCTGCGAGGGGTCTGGAGCACAAGTCTTATGAAGAGTGGCTGAAAGAGCTGGGATTGTTCAGTCTGGAGAAGAGGAGACTCAGGGGAGACCTCATTGCTCTCTATAACTTCCTGAAGGGAGGTTGTAGTGAGCTGGGGGTCAGCCACTTCTCTCATGTATCTAGTGACAGGACTGGAGGGAATGGCTTCAAGCTGCACCAGAAGAGATTCAGGCTGGATGTTAGGAAATATCAGTTCTCTAGAGTAGTGGTCAGGCACTAGAACGGGCTGCCCAGGAAGGTGGTAGAGTCACTGGCCCTGGGGGTGTTCAAGGAGTGTTTGGATTTTGTGTCAAGGGACATGGTTTAGTGACAACTATTGGTGACAGGCGGATGGATGGACTGGGTGATCCTGTGGGTCTTCTTCAACCTTGGTGATTCTGTAACTCTACGAAAATTAAGACCAAAATTGACACTGCCAGCAGGTATTTTTCACATCAGTACAACTATCAGCTGCACTTGGTGTCTAGCTTCCCTCCTGTCCAGAACAGGAACATGTTCTTAATTCATGTCACAAGATCTTGTTTAACTGAGTAGCTGTTTCTTTTTGTTCTTGACAAGTATCTACTCTGAAATTGGAAAGATGGAACTCAAGCCAATACCAGTGTTTGTAAAGCACAAAGTTTCCAGACCACGCTCTTAAATATATTTGGGAATCTTAGATACAACAGCCCATGGTTAACTGGCAACACTTAAGTCTCCCTTAACAGTAAAGATTCAGGCGCCATTGGACGGCTACCACAGATCACCTATTTGTGGGATCTATCAGCTCTTTAGATAGACAACTGTTTAGATTTATAAGATGCGTTACCTTCTTCATTATTAAAATGAGAAAGACACAAAGGTAATTACAGCCTACAAATAGCTGTCTGGACAGAGACAAAACAATCCAGAACCATCTTTGTATGCTTAAAAAGATAAAGGGTTAACACCTTATTTGTTCCACAAATTAGTTACATCTTTGCTACTCTTGTAGACTAGACACTGTGAGCATGGCTTGTTATTCAAACTGAACAGAGATAGTTGTTACATCCATTCCTGCGCTGCTTACAAAATGGAAAGTCTGTGGGGAAATCAGCAGTTAATTTGTTCTATCCTTCCACATCCAATCTTGCCATTCCAAGTCCTTAAGCGTAGGGCAGGTACCCCAGAGCTTGACTGCTGTCTTATTTTCAGAGAAATTCAGAAGAAGGGAATATGAGAGGAAAGTGTTAAGCAATTGCAAGACATAAGAGATACTTGAAGAATAAAAATCTTAGTGCTTCTAGCTATAAAGAGGTTAAAGAAGTTATCCCAAAACAACAGTTACAAGGGTGACAGTCATAAATTCTATGACAAGGTGAAACTACGTTACGCATGCAGCTGGCATACAATATTAGCGTACTTGTAGATATTCAGGAAACATCTGGTTCAACCAGCCAAAGCTCAAGAGCATTGAGATCGTCTTGAACGTGTTCCGTATGTGCAGAAGGCAGCTTATAGAAGATATCAAAGGACTTGCAACTCAGTTCAGAAGAAAATGTCAACAAAACCTCTGCTGTTAAGAAGACGCAGGACCTTGAATTTTACATACAAGGTTCCTGTTTACTGTACTGACTGACTGTAAGTCCAAAACACCTGAATTCAGTCAAATGAAACTGCACATTTAGGAGGAGTCATGTCATTGGTTGAATTTGCTCTGCAGCCTTTTCTGTTACTCCTGGAATAATTCCAAAGTCATCAACACAAAGCACTCTGAAGCTGGAGCCTTCTCTGAGCCAGTTCGTGGTTACCCCAATACAAACCCAGTCAGAGCACCATAACTTACACTCAGCAGTCTCCAAATCCACTTTCATCTTTTAAAGAGGCAACCTCGGTGCCAATCCTTTTAGAATAGCCTCGAGTAGCCCAGAAACGTGCAGGTGGACAAAACATATAGCCGTTTCATCACGCCAACCACAACGACCTTAGCCCTCCCCTGGGGAATTCTTGCCACATTGCACACTTAGATCTCTAACTCAGATTAATATTAACCTGCTCTCACCTGCCATTCCCACGGCAGGGGTGGGTGCCAGGTACCACCCAGCCTTCACACCCCCCTTCCAAGCAGCAGCCTCCTCCTCCTCCAGAGCCCTACGCGAGGACGTCGCATCCCCATCCCTTAGGAGGCAGCCCTCTTCATCCCTTTTTTCATTGAGAAGATCCCAAGAGCCGCCTTCCGCGTCAAACCAGGATTTTAAATGCGGCTTAAGCCAAGCGTAAACACAGCCAGCGAAGGCCCGGCCCGGTGCGGCCCTGCAGAGGCCTGCCGCTTTTCCCGCAACGAGCATCGGCAGCCGCTGGCAGCTCCGGCAGACCCGCGCTGCCCCCCGCGGCCCCCCACGAGCCCACCCAACCCGGCCTCGCTCTAACGACGGGCATCGGCCCCCCTCTCGCTCTCCCCCGACAAACGGAGCCGTGGGGGTGAAGGAAGCGCCGACGCGCCGTCAGACACGCCAACAACGCCCGCTCCCGCATCGCAAAGCCTCCCGTCCCGGCGCCCCCTCCCACCCCCCCGCATCTCCCGCCGCCCCCCGGGGCGCGTCGCCATTTCGTGAGGAGCGCGCTGCCAGCGGCTCGCTGCGACGGAGGGGGAAGGGAAGGGGAGGGAAGGGGAGAGAAGGGCGCCGGGGAGGTGACTGGGGAGACGGATGAGGGGCGGACGCCCCGACCCGAAGCACAACGGCCCACGGCGGCCGCCGGCCCGGCCCCGTCCAGCCCAGGCCCCGCCGCGCCTCGGCCGCCACTCACAGTTCCGGATATCGGAGATGAAGACGGCCAGGCCTCGCATCCCATCGCCCTTCGACACCGCCGGCATCGTGGCGCGCGATCAGGGCCGCCCAGCGACACGCCGAACCACCGCAACTACCGCCGCCGCCACCGCCCGCTCTCCCCGCGGGGCTCCTCAGGCCGCTGCAGCCGCCGCCTCTGCAGCGCGCATGCGCCGGGGTGGCTCCCGCGCCCCCGCGGGCAGCGGCCGGCGAGGCTGTGGCGCCCCCTGCCGAGCGGAGGCGGCGCCGCAGCGGCCCTGTTCTCCGCAGCCCCTCGGCCGTGCCCGCGGTGGCCCCGGTCATCCTCCCGTCCGCTGCGCCGTAATGCCCCTTCATGTCCTGGGGCATTACGGGTTTCTGCTGGAGGCCACAACCAAGCAGAGCAACGCAGTCCCACCCCACATCTTCTCTCGGGATGGAAAACATTTCAAGGTTAAACTTCCTTAAATGAGCCAGAGAGGTTGGACTGCACAGAGCATTTAATCTCATCAGCTGGAAATAGATTCAGAGGGTGTCAAAACTGATCTAGTCTGCCTAAACAACAGTGTGTTGAGAAGTTCAGTCGTAATGCTAGAGGTTAGCATACTTAATGGATTATAATGACCTCTACAAGCATTAAGGAATACTGGAGATCACTCATTTAATGTTTTCCTTGCATCCTTCAAGCTGTTTATTTTCATCTATGCCTTCATTTTTTCCTTTTCCTTCTGTTTTCATTTATTTATTTTTGCCTGAATTGAGACCAGTAACTAGACTTCAGCTGCAGTCTATCTTACTGAAAGGCATACAGCCCTGATCTGACACCGCCGATTTCACTGTTTCCCTGGGTAGTTTGTTGCTGTGGTTTCATGTTCTGTATTTTAAAGCCTACATCCTAAATTTGTAGAGCTTCAGTGCCTCCAAATAATGATACGCTTTAACCTCATATAGAAAGACTCACAATGTTTTCTGGTAATCACTATGTATATTGCTTAGGTAATATCTCTCAAGGATATTTTCTGCATGTTTTCAGGATACATTTTTACACCCATGTTTTTTCATTGTTATCCATTCCAAGGAGAAGATTGCAATACCTGGTAGTAGCCAGTGTATCGATTTTTTTTCCTGGGTGTGATAGATCTAGAACACTAACAGCACTTGCACACAGTCTTGATACAGATTATCTGCATATGGAGGCTCGCATGAAGAAAAATGTCTCATTTCATAACTTTACAATCAGATTTTGAGGCATAACAACAATCTACTTTTGAAGTAGAAAACATGATTTCCCTAAGTATTTTTCTCAAACAAGCAAACAAACATATTCATGTTTGAGTTAGCCAAAATAAGAAGTTGAACTAATTTCTTCTCTTTTAAAAGCAGAGTGACACCTAAAGGACAAGTGCATCAGTCTTTTGTGGCTGCATTCTAGTCACTGCAGCTGCAAGTCGTGCAGGCATGCTTAAAACTACCTTTACATACTTCTAGCTGAATAGATACAATAGTGCCAGGTGTAAACTCTGCTTGAAAAGGGGAGTAAACACACAAATCACTCCTTTGGGGCTCTTCAGTATTTAATTATTTCATTTCTAACTTCCTCAATGCACACTATGCATTATGCAGTTATTTTACATTCACCTTCTCCTACTGTCTTTTGACATCTACCATGCATTTTCTTACATCCTATCTTCTTTTTGCCTCAACAAAGACTTGTGCAATTACAGCGAATGCGTTGGCATGTGTGCCTCTACTTCCTCTAAATCAAGAGCTTGCTAGCCAATTACAGAGGGTAGAGAGAAGATACTCATTTTAGGTGAATAAATAGCCAGCAAAAAAAGAGAGAGAGAGCCTGTAATGATCTTTGGATGTATATCCTGACAGAAAGAAATTCTGTAATGTGAACCCAGGGATTATTGGAGAGCAGGGTACACACTAGATATAATTCCTTACAAAACACACTAGCTGATATATCAGGAAAATGTTCCACTTTGAGTTTAATGTCTACAAAATACCCGTCTGTGACAAATCAGACTTCAACTGTTCCATACATCTCAAGATACTATGATTTCTAAAGAGATTTCAATTACTGTAAATCAGCACTGAGGTGGCAATAGTCTCAAGATAATTCCTACTATGCAAAATGTTTTGCAGCACAATTGTTTGCCCAACAAATCCATGATGTTTATCTCTTCCTTATGCCATCCATGAATTGCTATAATCTTCAGAATTTCAACACAATTTAGTATAAAGACTTTGAAAAATTAGTCTGGTCTTTATAAAACGAACATTATTAAACTGTCTGTTTTCACCTGGTGAGTATTTGTTTGTAGGAAGTATAGTTTCCACCACAGTTCTTCTCTGCCTAAAACACAGAGCTGAGTGGTAGTTTACAGACAGAGTTTAACTCTTATTTTGGAGTTTTAAGTGCCGTGCAGTTTCAATTCCTATTTGGTTTCTAAAGTCAAAATGTGATTGATTTTTGAGTGTGATTACATATCATTATGAGGAATTTCAACACCAGAAATCATCCAACAGCCAGCAGGATTTACTGTCCATGCTGTGTTTAGTACTGCCACATCTATTCTGCCACCTACAGCTACTCTTCAGCCCTACATTGAGTGTCTGCCAAAATCAGACTCTAGAATAATTTGGACAGCATTGTGCTTAGGGTATGAAGTCACACACTGTGGGATAGAGCTCTGTTTTGCCAGCTCTTTCTACGTCTGTAATGAATTTCTACACAGAAGGAAATTTTTGTTATTTTTGACAGATTTGTCCCTCACTTGATCAGTTCTTTCTTCTCTTCCTCGTGGTCATTCTAACTACACTGTCATATCTAACTATACAGCAAAAACAGCTAATGAGAAAAAAGAATTTGTGGTTCCTATACCACAAATAGTATTGAGTGTACTCCATCTTGTTAATCTACCTGACACCTAAAGTTCATTATCTATTGATGGAGAGCACAGGTTTATCAGTAATGCCTTCTATCATGTCAGAATATCAGATATGTTGCTTTTAAGATTAAGAAACACAAAGCTACAATAACACCACTATTGTGAAATCTATCTAAATTTTCAGGTATGGATTTCTCTAAATCTCTTCCATGCAGTGAGCAACTCAATGACTAAAAGAGTTTTGCACTCTACCATGGATGTACAAAAATGTAGAATAGAATAGTTAAGCTTAAAATAAACTCAAAGAGAGTGGACAAGATAAAATAAGGGTGAATTAAGGGTCTCCAAGTAAGCCAACCTTGCCCCCTGCTTGCTGCCAGAGTGCTGACAGCCACCTGAGTGACTTCGTGCATTGCAATAAATTCTATATTAGTCCTTCTAGCTCATAGGAGGTTTTTTTCCCCTGACTGTTTGTCTTAGTCATCTTTCCCTTAAGCTGCAGGCTCCCAAATGAAGCTATGGGCTTCATTTCTTGCTGAGAAATCATTTTTGCTTCCAAACCTTTCTTCCCTGAGTACGCAGAGTTACTCCCCAGGAAAGGAACATGTTTCTGTTCTCCCCCAGGTGATTGGCATTGCTCTTTTAAAGGAATAGTATTGTACAGAAAAACACAGAATTTAAACAAAGATCACCTTATCATTTGGATTTACTTAGCAGCATATCAATCTTTATAGCAGCATATCTAGTCTCCTATCTTTCAAGGAGACTCCCCAGTACCTGGCAGTGTACCCTTATATCTATGAGTTAAAAAGACCTGTGATTCCCGAACAGGCAGCTGCAGGCTCCCTCAGGGGCAGTACACACAGTGCCAGCTACCTGCAGCAAACCTTTGGTTCAGTCCCACTGAGGGTACAAGAGAGTCAACAGGATAGCATAATAGGAACACAATACAGGAAATGACAGATTGCATTACAGAGTAGCTGGAAATAAACCAAATTTTTCATACCCCTGCCTTATCTCTGTCTTTCCTGCTATTGAGAAATGTATCCTGGAAACATCTAACACTTGAGAGAGATGAACAGCATTCTACAAAGCAATAGAAAATTCAGTACCCAAGCACACAAGTGAACATTGATTCCCCTTTTGAAATCCTCACAATTTGTGCCTGTGTGACTCAGGGCACAGGGGAAAGCACACATAACTCAGCGCTGTATCTGCTTCACTGACTCGAGTTCAGAGGAAAAACACTTCTGTTTTTCGATTCAGTGCTGAATTATGGTTAGATCTTGGATTACACAAGAGGGAAAGAAAGCAAAGGGTAGATGAGGAAATCTTCCAATTCCGCTTCTGGAAAGCGGCACCAAGTGTGAACTGTGGCAAAAAAGTAAGTCTAAAAGGCTTTTGTTGGAAAGGGTGGACCTAAAAATCTCTAGATGAGCACCCGGGCAACCTCCACCCAGCAGAGCAGAAGGCACACGAGGAAGTACGGAACGCCCAGTTAAGACGGAGGTGCCGCCATGATGGCGCGACCCGCTCTCAGCCGCCTCCTCGGCACCTCCCATCAGGCGCAGGGGCGGCACCGCCCGCCTCCATTTCCGAGGCGGCGGCGGGCGGTAGGTGGTGGCCGCGGGCCGGCGCTGCCTGGAGGCGGCAGCGGCGCTCTCGGGGGAGGGAAGGAGGCGGGCGGTGGTGCGGCGTCCCGTCCGTTTAGGGTATATCGGCCTGCCCCGCGGCTGGGATGCGGTGATATGGATGGCAGAAGCACCCTGGCGGCCCTGCGGGGGCTGGCCCGGGATAGGTAGGCCGCGGGGCACGCTCAGACCGAGCCCGCAGGGTTATGCTGGCCTGCACGCGGGCTCTGACGGAAAAAAGTGTTGGTATCTTCAGAGTACAGGAGGCAATTTTTAGTGTTAAAACAGAGCAGCTTAGAAGGGTAGGGGAATGCTTTTTAACACAGCTTAGGAAACAGGCTTATTTTTGCCCCTGAATTTAGCTTCTGTTGGCTTTGCTTTGGTTCACTGTTTCCTACCCCCCTGCAGCTCAGCAGTTTGTAGCATGGGCTTCCTTTGCTAAACCAGTTGCATATCAGAGCATTTACTCCAATAGCAGTTAGAACCCGCTTCCTCTTTCAGAAGTGTCATATAAGCATTCACTCTGATTTCACAGAACCCTTAGATTTCGAAGGGACCATTAAAGGCCATCTAGTCCAGCTCCCCCACAACAAACAGGGACATCCACAGTTAGATCGCATTGTCCAGGATAGTTTCTAAATAGTTACTGTGCAAGTCTCCAAGATTATGGTTTTTGACTGCTCCTTTTGGACAACATAAGTCCATGCCAGCTTCTCTATTTCTTTTAAATAGAACAGCATTTAAAATATCTGGCTGCGTTACCCAGGGAGACTCATAAGCAGGGCTTTGGGATACACCAAGGCTTCAGACCAGCATATCAGAAAAAAAACCATCTCAAATCTTAAACCTCAATTTTCCTTCTATGTTGCAACACAAAAGATTAGAAACAAAACTCTTTAGTTTAGTTAATATGAGGATAATAAAATGTTGAAGGGAGGCTTGCTAGGAAAAAGATGGGCATCTTGTTTTGAAAAGCTTGCAAAATTTGTGCTTTTAGTTTTCAGAGAGATTATTTAAAGCTTGATTTATTCATCTTTAGATATTAAAATGACACTGTGTGCTTGATTTTTGCTGATACTGTTGTATGGCAAAATAAAGCGATGACAATGCCTTCAAATGAGGTACATGTACAATGGAAGGATAGCAGGTAATAAAGAAAAAAATTTGACTTACCCCTTCCAATAAGCAGTTACAGTTTCAGGAGAGTGCAGCCTATCCAGACAGATGCTGCTCCCTTGGCTGCCAACCTTTAAATGAGAGTGAGGAGGGGTGGATCCTGTCTCCACCCCTTCTGATCACTCAGGTGCATTGCTTGCACCTGAGCTCCCTGGGTTAGCCACATCATCTTACTTGCTGTTCAACCATTGGCACAGTGACCTGGCAAGTCCACTGCATTGCTAAAGATGAAGTTAATAAAATAAAGTTCCTACTAAGAGTCAGTATAAGAATGTCATTAGCAGAAAATGTTGCTACAGGCTCTGCACTTTCTATAGATCCAGGAATGGATGTTGGCTTACAGTAATTGCCAGATGGATATGATCAAGGAAATGAACACATTTCAATTTCTAATTGGAGTCCAGTGGTGTTTTTTTAATTTGTGTGCTTCAGCTGTTAAACACTAACTTCTTTCTAGGAATATGAATGCTGTTGCTAATTGCTTCTGAAAGTGAAATCAAACACCTCCAAATCAATATATACCAGCTTCTGGAAGAATCGATATCCTGTCCAAATTGTTAAGATTTTGTATTGACTGTTCAGGCTCTCAACTGTTCCCATCTGTAATAGTTTATAGATCCTGCTAAGCTTGATGGAACAGAGTAGATGCTATCAAGAGCAGCTTCCTTTGTCTAATCTTCTTGGATGTTGGAAACAAGAGTACTAGTGACCTTGGAGGCAAAGAAGAAGAGCAACAAGAAGAGCTTAGCTACTAATAACAGTGCAATGTCAAGTGGTATACTGATTTAACTTTTGCCTTGCCCTCTGGATCCAAGAGACATTAGAGGACTTTTACTTTTGCGTTCTTTTTAAGATTTGATTCAAGTCTTCAAGTAATTTTGTACACAAGGGCTTTGAAGATGTCTGTTCTTTGGTGCTAGTGACATTATACTTTTTTAAGCACTTTTTCTGCCATCACTCTCCTAGTTGGCATTCTAGGCATTCTTGCCTCTGTTTTAGTGCAGGATGCCCAACTCCTGCAAGATCTCTTTCTTGGCTTTTCAGCAACTCACTGCTAAACCAACCTTATCCAGATATGTGTTATTAATCTCATCTCAGCATTATTAGGATAGACCTCATATGGCTACCGACAGAACAAGTCTTGCAAATATGGCTTGAAGGAATTATTTATTAAGTCTTCGGAATGAGTGGCAGAAAAGTTAGTTCTTTGAGTCACACAGAAAAATTTGTTTTGTTTTAATTTAGAGCAAGGGGTTATGTTTGAAAAAACTTCAGACAGTTATGGGAAAGCTAACATTTGTCCTTCCCCATTAGGATCTCAGTATTCTGAGAAGCAGCCAGATATATGTCTTGAGCAACTGATTTATTATACACTAAAGAAAATCCCATTGTGAGCCTAGGACATCTGGAATTAGCAGCACATTACTTCCCTCAATTTCCTCTGCTCAACTTCCACTAATGATGAGTATTCTCTTTCTTTTTTCATCTTACCCACTTGTTGGATCTGGAAAACCAGTGAAACTCATGAATGGGGAAGGGCTAAAAAACAGTCACTGTCTATTTTTGAATTTTTTTGGTAAAATCTTCCTCATGACAGAACTAAGTTGTGACAGATAAATAGCACTGAATTGAACTGTTCTCTGTTAATTCTCAATACATATATTTGGAGCAAACTATCAAAGTTTTTTCAGTTCTCTTTGTATCACCAACTTGGTGAATTCATTAAAGTTCTTGCTTGTTGTGATAAAGGTACATAGATATAAGCATTTGGCTATATTTTTTTCCATTCTTTATTTAATCTATGTCTTGTTAATTGAATTAGGCGTGATCAGTGGTATGTCTTACGTGCTATAGAAAAGGCAAGGCTGTACTATTCTGGGCAGCAGGCATTTATCACAATTTCAGCTGCAAAACCTTGTATTTCTTTAGGAATTCTTTAAAAGAAAAGCTGCAGCTTTTCCTGGGGTACATCTAAGAATCTCTTAAAGTACTCTGCTATATTGCTGCCAGCCTAAGGTATTATTAAACAGAGCTGCATTAATAAGTCTTAATCTATAGAGCAGAAGATGAGACAAAGAATTGATGTTTCTTAGACAAGAAAACTGAATTTCTCTTAAACAGTTATGTTCTTCTGTTTGCAGAGACTTGAACCCTTGTATTTCTGGGACAAGAAAAACTTGACACTGGGAGAAACACTATGAGATTTCTCTGTGTTTCACTTTCTTTAACCGTGATTTGCTGGCTAGCTGAAGGCACCTTGTCGAAAACAGACGCGAAGAAACCTGCTACAAAAAAACTGGAAGAAAAGGTAAGCTAAATAATTGAAATAATCGTCTTGTTTAACATATGCAGTGATATAACTTAACTTTGAGAGATGGTAAGGGTATTCTCATTCTTTAAAAAAAAAAAAAAAAGTGTTGAAATTGACATTTCCAAGCTTGTTCTCAAATTAAACTATGTGAAATTGTCCTTTCATTCATCTTTTCTGAGTGTCACAAATGATTCACTCCTTTAACTGTCTACCCAACACAGGGTAGACTTCTGGAGTTTTCAGCTTCAGTGGAAGCTGCATAAGATTGCTATAGAAGCAAGAAGTTTTTGTCCCCTCCTGCATGTAAAGAAAGCATACCTCCATCCCTGTGTTGGGAGTTGAGGGAGCAGTAGTGTTGACCAAGGTCATTTAGAGATGGGGGAGATGTTCTCAGAACTACCAGTGGGACAGCTGTGTTCTGAAAGAAGAGTTTGAAGAGCTTGCAAGCCAGTATTTTCTTTGAAGGCAAAAGTTATTCAGAGTCCCATAGCAGTTTTGAGAAGATGATTCAACGTGCTGAAGTCTCTCTTAACTTGCTGAGCATGTTCTTGTTTTCTTCCTGTTTTCTTTCAAAATCATGAGGATGCTCAGCAATGCAGGAGAAAGGATATGCATGGAAGTATATTTACCAGTGCATATACCAAATACATGTACTTCATGTTGCAAAGCACTCTTTAAAAAAAAAAAAAGAAAAAAGACAGGTGATCTATTCAAAATCCTGTCCCTCAAATTATAGGTAATCCTTCATTATGCAGATGTGTTTGTTATTGTCTATATTGCTTGCTCAGTGTCTACCAGGAAGAAAATCTAATATGCTGCTAAAACTACTAGGTGCAAAGGCAGTACAGAATGTTGAAGCCTGCCTTACCCTGCTTCTGTGTGCTCACTGTGCACACTTTCTTAGTGTGGGCTTTATTAGCCTTCTGACTTACTGCTAAGTCTACCTGTGCTGTTTTAATTCAAGAAGATCTTCTGTAAGTAGGTTGTTTGGAACTTTAGCTGTGACCACAGTGCAGTATACTTAACCTGAAATATGTCCAGTTTAAAAGTCTTCTTTGAAATCTTGGTTAAGAGCTCTTCAACAACTTTTGTTGGTTTGACAGTAGCCAGAAAGCATGGACTAGAGTGCAGAAGAAAACAAAAAGGCATTATTTTGAACAGATCTTGACAACTAGTACGAAGGCTGTTGTCAAGTCCTGTAGAATTTGTAGCAACTGAGATTAAGTGGCTGTGTTTAGCAGAACATGCAGGTCAGCAGTTTAAGACTTCTTGCAAAATTGCTCTTTATGTTATGAAGGTACCAGTCATCAGATGTGCTGAATGACGTTTTTTTAATCTTATCACTTGATTTTTTTTCCTTTTCCTTATAATCAAAGTAAGATTACTGGTGATGACAAATCATTTCCCAGCTCTTTCTTACTTTCTTTTTAAATCAAACTATTTCGCACAATTTAAAAGAGTACTCGGAGTTTAATGTTGTTGTTTTCTTTTTGAGGCCTGTTGCTTTTGAAAATGGCTGCTTATAAAAACTGTTGTCTTCCCCCAGACACTGCATTCTGATAAGAATGTGCAGGACCGGGGACTCGTAGTTACAGATCCAAAGGCAAAGGACATCATATTGGAACACAGAAGCTACTGCTCTAAGAAGACGAAAGAAAGACACTTCTCAGGAGATGTTCTGGGATATATTACTCCTGTGAGTTAATAAATCAAATAAAATTGGTGCTTTGAACGAACGTGCAGTGGTCTGTACTAATCTTGCCTCTTGCATCCTTGCTATAAAAATATTTTGGTAGTATTTGGAACTTCTAGTCTGCAGTCAGATATTCAGAGGATTATTCAAGAGCTGCCTTGAGATTCAGGTGGTCTCAAACTCATGTTCTCCTATCCATCTCTTGTAGGATATCTAGGTCATACTGTTTTTCTCACCAGTAAAACAGTTTGTTGTTGTTGTTGTTCTTGAATGAGCCATGTAAAGTTGCAGTATTTTCAGATGAGGAATACTACTAAGTATCCTTATATTATGCAGCTACCAACTTGAACCTTCTATATAAATAGTAAAAATTTTATCCTGCTGTCAAGCTGTTATCTTGTTATTCAGTCTTACTGTTCAAAGCATCTTCTCTTGAATAATAAATGTTACTTCCTTTTGTTTAGAGAATGCCTCTTGTTTTGTTTTTTGCACTGCTCAGAACAGAAATAGGTTCCCTATGAACTTCCAGCTTTCTCAAGTTGTGTTGAACATAAGTGCAGACATGTACAGTCAAATCTCTGTTGAATCTAAATGCTAATTCCTCCAGTTTAGTTGAATTTGCATAAACTGAACATTGGCATTCATGTAGCTATGAAAGTGTTATAAATGCTTTATTACTTAAGCAAAAATAAAGCTACAGAAGGTTTTCTGAAACTAGCAGAGATTTAGCAAGTGATTACATTTGTGGTAAAGAGTTTTTATTGATCAAAATCAAAGTGGTCTGTATGTCTTGCTTGTCATCTCTCACTTTTCTTTCTCTCCTTTCTTTTGCAAGTGGAACAGCCACGGCTATGACATTGCCAAAATATTTGGAAATAAATTTACATTAATCTCACCAGTCTGGTTACAAGTGAGAAGGAGAGGGAAGGAGAGGTTCCAGTTCACCGGGCTCCACGATGTAGATAAAGGTTTGATTTCCTTTTTATTTGAATATGGATTACAAATAGGATCACTGTTCTTTTTGCAAACTGGTGGGTAGTTAATACACACACGTGCATTTTTCACACTGCCTCTCACTGTGAAGTAATTTCATCCACTAGTTTTAGAAAGATTTTTACACAATGAACTTTTCTGTTCTCATTTGCTTCCACAAATACACGTAGTTTCTGTCCAGATAATAAGTAGAAAGACAGCAGGCTATCTACAAAGCCCCCTTTAAAAAAGGAAAAGACAAAGAATCTTTACAGATAGAAAAAGTCCTTTGTGTTTGCACTGTGCAGTTATTTATCTGTTTTTATTCCTTCTGCCCTTGCAAAAAAAAACCCATACAAATAAACTTAGAACGCCTGTGAGTGAGTTTGTTCTGGGAGTGAAATATGAATTTAATCTGAAGAGAATTTTCTCCACTGTCAAAGAACTTGCAGCAGATTCAGAATTTATATAGTATGCTCTTACTAAATAATTAGTTTGGTTTTGAACTTGATTGAAACATGTCTGTAAAATGCCATTTTAAAGAGCTCTAAAGATTGTTTTTACCATGTTAGTGCCTACTAACAAGTTAATTCTAATGCAGTGACTACTGGGAGGGAGTGGATGGGACACTAGGAAATACCAACTGAATTTAAAAAAAGTAACCAGACTTAAAAACCCAGCTAACTTAAAAAAGAAATGAAAATTCATATTCTTCCCAGGACTACACAACTGCTGTGGTCAGTAAGCAGTGAGATGTTTTCCATGATGAAGCAGAACTATAAGCAACAAGGAGAAGGGGCTGAGAAGGACTCTTACAAGATTGTTGTAAATGTGAGTTATGCTGTGGTGGAGGTGAATAGCTTCAATTTTTGTGACTCAGAGGCTGCTTCCTCTGCATTGCTTATGAGCCAGTAGTCTGCAGCAGGGAGACTGGTATAATTAAACTTTGCTACATTAGTTGAAGAGTGCTTCAAAATTTGTTGTCCTTGTCAATACATTTATGTTTTAAGAGCTGTTTTCTTGGTAATGTTTGACAGGCTGGATGAAAGATGTCAGAAAAAATTCCAAAAACATCAAAATAGGTGAGCCTATATTTTATGTGTTGTTTTTGTCAATTTTCTTTTGCTGCTAGCAGAGCAAGAGACAACTGTGTTCCATGTGTATTGAAGAGAAGGGAGATTAGCATAGCCCTATGAAATGAGGTGTCTGAAAAGAAAATTATAAGCAGTTAAACTGCAGATAAGTAAGCAACTGAAGTGTAGATTCTGTTGGTGCCTGAATGTTTTACCTTGGTGTCTTTTCTCTTAAATCCATGGCCACTGGGTCCTCTTTGGAAGGGTACTCTGCATTTAACATGATGTGCTTACCTGAGGAGTAATCTTGAAACTTGTTACTCGGGGATTCCACTCTTTTTATAAAGGAGAAAAGGAATCCAAATCTGAGCCAGTAGTCAGTCTTTTCCTGCACTGCTTGCTTCTGCCCTTGAAGCAGAGACCTCAAGGGATCTGCCACAATGTGTCTGTAGGGAAAAATGGCAAACATTGCTACAGTGATAAAACTGTGCTAAACTTCTTAATTTTGTCTGGAACAAGAATGAGTTGAGGCCGTGAAACTAGTAAAACTCTTCTTGCTTCACAAGGTTGTATGAAACATGAAACAGGTAGAAAAATTGAATGCTCAGTGAGCTATTCTAAATTACTTCAGCTGCCAGGTGGTAAAACCCCTGAAATCTCTCTTGACTCTTCTAAAAACCTTGATAGTTAAAAAGGGCTTAGACATAGTTTTGTATGGCATTTCCACCACGCATGATTTTCAGCTGTTCCCACAGCAGTTTTCATCACTCTTGTCTGACTACATTTTTAACATCTTAAATGTGTTGTTGGTGGAGGGGGAAAAAAGGGGTGAGAAGTACCCTCAAGCACTGATTTTTTTTTCCAAAATTAGGATTTGTCATAGGCTCTTGAAAGGAGCAAAAAAAGCTGAATATGGGGCTGAATTAGACTAAATTAGAGTTTGAGGTGAACTTTTCTACCTTGCTATTCACGTGTTAGAAGAGAGGCACAACTTACAGAAGGATTGCTGTTTCATTTTGGTGTTCTTTTAAGACCTTCCTAAGTGGAACTTCAGTTGTCAGTTGAACGCATCTTTTCTTAAAACTGGCATCAGTTAGCTATAAATTAATGTCTGAGTTACCATAAAACAAAGAAGAATGTTCTATGGTGTCAACTTTTCTGTGCTGATAAAGTTAGAGTAAAAAAACACAACAGTCCAAGTGATGAGATACATTGTTTGGTGATTTACCTGCTGGTATGTTCTGTAGTATTATATTTCTGTTTTTGCAGAAATGTTGCAATGTAGATAGTAATTTGTTAAATTTTCGTTACTGATTGACTTCTTTGCTTGATAGTGCCTAGAATTTTGTTTGATGGCTGGACTTACCAGGACTTTGAGAGTGTTTTTGGCAGTGAAGATGAGATAGAAGAGCTTTCACAGAGTATGGTTCTACTAGCCAAGGTAAAAGACTTCAACAATGCTTGACATGTTTGTGTGACATGGTTTCTGGTTCCTTTTATGAAATATATTTTCTCATTTCCAGTTTTCATCCTTCAAAATAAAGTTCTGTTTGAAATATGAATGAGGCACAAATCTTAACTGTATATTCTAGAATGTGTCCAATTCCTACATGTATGAAATACAGCAATAAGTAAATACAGTTAACTGAAAGCCTGAAGTGAAATTACTTAAGTCTGATTATCCTAAACTTGTTATCATTGGCAGTTGCACACTTCCACCTGTTGTAAACTCTAATTGATAAAACCCATTCCAGCCAGCTGATGTGCAGAATAATATCAAAGCGGTAATGGAGAGTTAATAAACTTCTCATGAAGGTCACCTAGTGAACAGAGTGATTTCTTTAACTACTTAAAAAAAAAAAAATAACAACGACAAAACAGCCAGAAACTGTTATTACAGTTATTGTGTTGGGTTTTTTTGAGGGGCTGCAAAACAATCTTGGGTACAATGAGTGCTGTTTTCTGTATTACACAAATATGTTCAGGCTTCAGTGTACTAGACATAATGAGTCACTTTTAATATCAAGAATAGCTTGCCAGATATCATTTACTGCATAATTTTGTTCAGGTCTGATAAAACAGTTAAGAGTCCAGGGAGAGAAAAAGAGGGTTTCCTTTAAGGAACAGTTACTGTTTGCTAAGACTTCCTCTGGATCCCCTCAGCTTAATGCTTTGGAACAATGCTTCTAGGACTGGACAGACTGCACCTAGAGACATTCAACTTAGTGGCTGTTTTGTGAAAACCTGCCTAATTACTGTCAGAATAAGAATACTCTCCCTTGCTGTAAGATGTAAATAAATCTGCATTCTAGAGGAAAATGGATGAAGAGGTGAACTGAATACTTTCTTAAAATTTATAACTGCCACATCAATTTTAGATCCTCTGTAACAATTAACCTCTTATGGAATGGGTGCTCAAGTCCGGCGATATCCTTGATCACAGTAAACAAACTTCCATAAGAAAGATTAATTTTGGAGATGTTTGGAATAATGACTTTTCCACTTTAGTATTTACATGTTTAGAGTCAATGGCTCATGACTTTTTTTCCCAATATACATGTAAATGTGTTTCAATTGATTTGCTTAACAACCATATTTCATTAATGGCTGCATTTTTCCCAATGGTTTATCCTGTGAGAGTAAAAGTCAGTCATGCATAACTAATAGGTTTTCTACTTTTGAATTTTAGTTACACAATTTGTGCTTCACTTTGACTTCTTCATGAAATAATGCATTTGAGATGAAATTGCTGTAAGAATATGAAGCATGCTCGATCTGTAATACTGCTAGAGCAGCTGAACTGATTGTGTGCTTCAATATTGCATTATCTCTGCAAGCATAATGAATAAGCGTGGTGATGAAGTGTATATTGTTGTCAATTTCTTTTTTTAGAATGAAAATTTTGATGGCTTTGTAGTTGAAGTTTGGAGTCAGCTAGGAAATCAAAAGCAAAAGTAAGTATAAGTCTTTAGGATACAATTATAAGAATTGCCTCTTTTACAGTATCTTCTGAAAGTTTAATTAGTCCATGTTGACTTGAATTTGTCATTTTCTATAAATAAATACACTTAACTCTTGTTCCACTTGTCTTAAAACTGTTCTACGTGAACTCAAAGGCTACGTATTAATATTCATTAGCAATGGGTGGAATTAGCAGACCACATCAACTTTTTAAATTTCAGTTGTGCAAGATGTTACTGTTGAACAAGGATGAAGAGAGTACCTCAACTGTACTGTGTGCTCATGTGCTGGCATTGGCCTTTATGGTCACACTGACTGGTATGTGTTACTGGATAAATAGCACTGACTTTCAGTTAATTAGGAAATCTTCCTGGATTTCATATTAAGGTCTTTTGAATGTGCTGAAATTAGAATGAAAATCCCCAACCTGAAGCAAACCTATGGAGAAACTGGCTTTCAGTTTTTGCAGGCACAACAGTTTTAGAACTTTAGAGTAGCTGATCTACATATTCAACGTCTTTTAGTTATTGCTAAACAGGAATAGGAAGAGAAGGTGATTCTCAAGGAGCAGAACGGTGAGTGCCTCATGTGTTCTGAGTCAGTAATGTTTGATTAGACATGGCTGCAAACAAGCAAGACTTCAAAATTGTCCTAGCCAGAAGTCTGAAAGTGTATGTTTGGCAGAAAAACCTGAGTATAAATAAAGGTTATAAACTATTTCTTTTTTTGTCTCTTCAACACCAGTTTGGATTTAAGTGCTTAGCTGTAAACCCACTCGTGTGTTTACCCACCACTGCCCTAGATGTGGTTGAGGCGATTAAGTTGCAGAATGTCTCTGAGAAGCCAAGCAGTGACAAGCATTCTGAATAAATGCTTTTACTTTCATATCTATTAATTTGCCTTTGAATAGCAGAGTAGAATTAGTCCTGATAAATCAGTAAGCATGGGCTACCCACCCTTTGCTTTGCTCATCCCTGCTAGGAAGGGGTAGAGCCATGACATCTTCAGCCCACAGAGTGGCAGTATTGCAGCATGATTCATACATGATCCGTGTCTGCTTTTCCAAAGCGATAAACATCAGTATAAAGCATATTCTTAACAGTAGAAGAGCTGGGGACAATTGATGGGAACGTATCAACACAGAAATGACCCTTTAACCTTCAGACGTGTAAAGCCATAATAGAATAGAAATTATTTGTGCTCCATATGAGGTACTGATATTAACTGTTAGGTAGATAGTGTAGGCTTTCCTGATTCAGATCAGTATTTCTATGAGATACCTTTTTTTTTTTTTTTTTTTTTTTTTTTTTTCTTCCTTTTCCTTTTACTAGCTGAACCTGAACTTTAGTGGAATTCAAGAAGCCTGATAACATCCTTACATCATTTGCTCTACCCATTGCATCTTTGTATAAGTAGGTAACAGTAACAGTGCTAGCATTACACAAGGTTTCTGAAGCCTGCAAGGTCTCTCACCAGCATCACTGAGAACCTGTAATTACTGAGGATTTTTAAGAACAAGCAAATTTATCTACTTTCCTTTCAGCTCTTTGCATATTTCTAGAAAGATCTTGGGTTTTTTTTGGTTTTCACTCCAACATCAGAAACAGATGAGATTTCCTCCTGCAAGGAATAAATAGTTGCATAAGAAGAACTTTCAGTTTCCTGTTTATCCTAGCTGGTACTCCAGAAGAAGTGAAATAGTGTGGTCTGAGGCCCACTGTATCTTCTCTTTACATATTCTTAAGCAGAGCTAGCTTAATCCGTGTTTGTTTTCAAGACTAAGAATGTAGTAATTGTAATGATTCTTATTTAGGGTTAGGATTGCTTTTTTTCCTGCTCCATAATGCTCAGCAGAGGTGAAGTCTTAACTTATACCAGTCCTTCATGCTATTTTCTTTTATATAACATTAATTTGTTAACTTACTGTGTAAATTTTGCGGAAGAGAAAGAATTATGTGCCTAAATGTGGCTGCCTGGCTTTATGTTAAAAAATGTAATCAACTTAATTTATGGCTGTTTGCTTTGAGTATGAGGGCCCTGGATGCCTTGAAACTTAGCCAACAATTCTGCATACATGCTTTGTATACCCCTGGCTGTAAATAAATGGCATTAGATTCTTATATTCAGGTGCTGAAATACCATCTATTCTATCTGAAGAACTTGAATTGTATTGAGATATGTGTGGACCTACGCTGCAGGAGCCTAACACTGATCAGTTCAGGCTCATGTAGAAGTCCAATACAGATGCTTTGAGGTACCCTCTGTAGGTACCTACTTCTTTTCTGTGGTTTGCAAGAATAGAAGCTCCTGATTACTGATATAAGACAAATTGTGAGATAGATGACTGAAACTAACTGATGCTCTTTTCTCTCATGCTGACAATTATTGCATAATGAAAAAGTACTCAGCTTCCTGTCTTTGATTCTAACACATAGGAAATGAGTTTCTAAACAAAAACTTAAATCAGCTGAAATGTCTTGTGCAATTAATACCTCAATTCTAACACATTTTACTGTCCCTTACAGTTCAAACCCGCTTCTTAATTTATTTATTTTTTTAAATCTAAAAGTTCATTGATTGATTTTACAACAGAATATTCCAAGTTATTTAAACCGTGGCATTTCAAGTTAGAAATGCATGTGGTGGAAATTGTGAACTAAACAGGAAAACTTCTGCTTCCTCAGTTTTAATTATAACAGTCAGACAGGACAATGTCTCTTTTGCTAATATTATGCATGGATTTATTTTTATTTTTTTCCCCAGACACCTGTGGGCACATTCATGCCTTTTTCACCAGAATGTGATAGTATATGTGAAGGTGTACATGTTATTCTGCTTTGTCTGGCATTAGCTGACAGATGGCACTGCCATCACAGAGGATCAATCTGAAAAACACAATTTTTTTTTTCACCCACCGCATGCTGCAGGCACTTGGCATCATGCAGAAGATGACCTTCAGACATCTTATTAATGTTGGTAGGAGTATAGGAGCAAAAACCTCTTCTGGCACTTCTATCCTTCATGTTAGTCCCTGAAAAATTAATCTATTAATCAAAGATTTGCCATAATTCACTCCAGTTTTCTGGTATTAACTAGGCAATGAAATGGCACAAAAGAGCAATTTCTTCTTGAAGTAGACAGCTTTATTCTGTCCAATTTTCTTGACAAGGCATAAATTTCAGGGAGCACTGACTATTAACTTACAAAAGAAAGTGGCAGAAGTTGGAAAGTTGGAGAGTTCTGAAGGGTCATGTAACTGAAGACAAGAATGTAGCAGTATCTTCTGCAGTGCCTTTCAGACAGCCTGACAGCCCGCTTTTATGCACTGAAGAGAACTGTTACAAGATGTCCCAAACACAATGGACTGACAGTGTTGGAAAAAGTGAGTCCTGAAAAAATAACTCTTTCTCAGACGTTGGATGAAGGAAATTTGCATACTTTGTAAGGGAAAAAATACTTTGAAATTGGGAACATTAAAAAAAAAAAAAAACAAAAAAAAAAACCAACAAAAAACAAAGCAACCAACCTTCCAAAAAGCAGTGATAATAGAAGGCCTAATAGCATAGGATTGAAGTAGATCTTAATTAGCTCATGATGGTCTTAAAGCTGCCAGTGTCTTAGTTACTACTATGAAGTAAAATTTGACAAGTGTGTAGTCTCTGGTAGATATTTAACGTGGACTTTTCAGAAAGAGTGATTCTATTCCTAATTACCCTCATTACCTCATTATAGTTTTTAAAATGTCAACAGTCCTCACAAAATTACCAGTGACAATGTGGGAAAAGATTGTGGTAGCACACTGGAAAGCACTGCGAGGGCACAGCAAAGTCTTAGTTTGTAGCACACAATCAAAGAGCATTCTGTTATTGCTGTTTAGGGGAGGAGGCAAGAGTGCACATTTGGTCTATATAATCTATCTTGGCTGACAAATAGAAGTTAACCAAAAGGAAGTCTTCAGCCATAACCATTAATCCTATTTGATCTGCAGTAGAGATCTCAGGGCCGAGACCTGGCTTGACAGGTTAGTGAGTAGATGTTCACCTAGGTTTCTTGAGTAATAATCTGCAGTTATCCTGATACACTTTCACTCCCTGATCTGGCCCAAGTTGAAGCTAACATATATACTTTTTTTTCTGGCCAAGGCTATATTGTTTAGATTTGTTTGGGGGAGAGGAAGTGGAAGCTATTTGGATAGGGTTAGTTTTTTAGTTTATTGTGCTTTCTACAAAATAAAACAGCAGTTCAAACTTTCTATTGGTCCTATATCAGGCCACCAATCTCTGTCCTTCATTTACAGTTGCAGGATTTCTATATGCCAGGGTTGCCTACACTGTATGCCTTTCCAATTTAGTCAAAAAATATTTTGTGCAGTTCAGAGGTCATACAAGTTAACAGAGGCATTCAGAAAGAGAAGAGAGATCCTGCTGATGAAGTGATGGCACAGGATAATCTCAATACCAGAGGAACTGATTTCAATCAAGTTTATTTTGTAAGTAGCTTCTCTGACATCTAATAAAGGGTACATTCATACTACTTCAAGTATAATTTGTTAAAAGGTCACTTAGCCATGAGACAAAAATCTGTAGGAAAAAGGGCTTAGCTAGTTTTAAGACTGATTATAGTTTTCAGTAAGACTGCAGTAAGACTGTGTCATGTGGGGGTTGTGATACATATGGTGGGAGTCAAGAAGAGTCTGTTTAGTTTAGCATTGTAATTTTTTTAATGCTTTCTCTGGAAAAGAATTCCTCCATGCTTAATTGGTTTGTCTGAATAGTGACACTCTTAATACGGAATGCATATTGTGAAGAATGGAACGTAAAGCTGTTACTTCTCAGTAGAAGAATGCTGCAGGTAGACTAAATGCTGATTCCTATAACTTTGTGTCTCCACTGCATGGGAGTTGTTTGGCACAGCCAACTCTCAGATTGTAAATGCAAAATACTGATTATATTGGGAAAGTTATAAAACTTCTTGTTGTTAGAATCTAAGAGTAATGGTTTTTTTATAGGATTTCATCTGGCATTAAGTTGTTTCTTAAACTGTTTCAGTGCAAATAAAACTTCTTAATTATTTTGAATAGCGTCTATACTGTGCAAGTCAAGCATCTTTACCGTGATAGATGATTAAATGGAAGATCAGTGATTTTAGAACAATATCTTTGGGATGATAATACCTTGATGGGGACTGCAGTACTGGAAGTAGTCTGTGAAAGTTCTGGTCTAATCCAGTTTGATAAATAAGTGGAGCAAACAACTTAAATGACCTCCAGTGTATAGCCTGCTCTAATACTTGCCACCTGCTGGAATGGGTTGTGAAGTTGCTTTTTACTCAGTTCAAGTTTAAGCATAGCCCTAAACAGGTCTAGAATTCACTGCTGATATCCTTCTGTCTGCATTTTTGGATCTCTGCTGGCAGGTAATTATAGAAGTTGGTGTTTTCAGGAATGAAATGACTTGGAAGCACACAGGATGGCCTTATTTATGGCATGAATTGAATGTCTCATTGGACTCTTTAGATAAAAGTAACTTAAATTTTCTTGTTTTCCTAGTCTCTTTTGAAGGATTTGCTATTTACATCACCTTTTGAAAGAAAGATCTCAAAATAGATTATGTGAAGAAAATTTTGGAGCTTATTTTCCTATTGAAATTAGGATGTGGAGATCAACTTTTGAGAAAAGTCTTTAATGCATATAGGAGATGATAATTCCAGAAATGGCATTTCCAGGCATTTATTTTGTGGCTATACAGTAAAATGTTGGGAAACAAATCTACTAAAAAACCACTTGAAACAGCAACAGAAATGTTTCTAAAAGCAGGCCTCATAAATACACCTTGAAGATTGCACATCTTGCTGGGAAAACCTCTATGAATTCTCAGACTTTTCTGTAATAGCACAGAGTTAACTCGAACCTATGCAACAATTGCTTGTTTCAGAACAGTATTTGGTTCTTCCATTGATTCATCCTTTTTATTGAATAGGACTCTAAGGAGTAGCCTGCTCTGATAGCATATATCATATTTACATGCTAACAATGAATAATTGTATTAAAATAAAACATTTTATCCCTAAAGTGATCACTGGCTACAATAAAATTAAGACTACCTCCAGCAGGTCAGTGTTTTTAATCTCATAAGGAGGTAAATCTTTGATTCATCTTTGTTGTTTTTTTTTTTTTTTCCCCCCAAATGCTAAAATCATCCACTAGAAATTGCATTTGGATCTCTTGACTGCTGCATCTTTTAATAATTTCTGCTGTTACTGGTAATCTTGCTTTTGTCAACCAGTAACACTAGTTTTCTGTCTGTCCCTATAACAGTATGTTTATATTTCAGGGAGTTGATACACTTGCTCATTCACCTTTCTGAAGCTCTGCATGAAGCACAACTAAAACTCATACTAGTCATTCCTCCAGCAGTTGCAGCAGGGTGAGTATTCCTATGCAGGCAGCATGTTGCAGACAAGAAATACTTTGTTATTTCATACACTGTAAAACTGAAAGCTTTATTTGTAGCTGTGCTACTTAAATGAGTAAGAAATTCTTTGAGTTTGATTGCTTGATTCATGTTGCACTGAATAGTCTTAGTACTATATGTGAGCATAAATACATCATAACTTTTGAAATCAAAATAAGTTGCAGGGGGACTTCCTGTTATGGTGTTAACCCCATAATGTCTAGTGAAAACTTCCAGGAGAACAAGAGCAAAGCAGTTGTGGAGTTTAATAACTTGTTGCCAAGGAGTGAAAAGAATTGTCACAAAAATAGCACATAAAAAAGGCTTACTGAGCCCCTGGGCATAATTTCACCTATGATAGATAATGCTCGTCTTTAATCAAGTAAGATTGGACTCTTCTTCTATAATAGGGTTGTGTCTTTTCTAAAAAGATTTGGTTTGACTTAGTTGTTCACATGTACAGAAAATGAATTTAGCAATTCTAAATAGTGTCTTCTTACTAATTATTGTGTTTATTTGTGCAGTGATTTGTATCCAATAGGTGTGCCAGTGGATATGGATGTGCTCTTCGATGCACTAGCAGTATTCAGTTCATATCTTTCAGCGTTTATAGCAGAGAGATTTACTTTCTATGTTTAGATTTGTTGGCAGGAAAAAAAGCAAGAAAAACCAAGAACAATGAAATCAAAACATACCTGGAAAATGAGAATATAATTTCAATATATGCAAAAAGAATTTGAATCCTCTTTATATTTTTACACTTTTAAGAAAAGATACTACATTGTCTTCAAGACACATATAATAAAGCTGTGATTTTTTTTCTCCAGTTTGTACATCTCTAGTAGTACTATTTCTGGGAAGCCATTGGAAATGCATATTTCTGTGTTTTAGGAGATTTACATCTCACCCTTCCAGGTTTCACGTAATCAATCAGTGATTATATCCGTGTGAGAGTAAGCAGATAGAACTGAAGCCATGTAGGTGGAAGGTGATTCATGATGTCAGCAGAGTGACAGAACTGCAGTCATTTCAAACTGAAGCATAGGCTATGCTAATGTCACAAAGCTTTTTCAGCAGGAGGTTTGCCTGCTACGAACAGAACTACTTGGTAACATTTGTTCATTTTTTGATACTTTTTCATGTAAAAAAATGCATGGCATCCTTGCATTGTGAGCGTAGTTATATGTTGCCCTACTATGTAGAAGCGCTTATGGTATGCAATAGCATTACAAGGACATATTGCAAGGAAAGCATTATCTCATAGATAACTGTGACAATATGGGTACTGTACTCCAATATCTCTTTCCTTGTTCCTCAAATTATGGGTCCCTGTAATGAGAGTCTCTGTTATACCATAGATAAGCCAAGTGTAGAAGTGTACATTGCAGTCTCTCAACTCTGAATAAGGAGTACCAAATCCCTGTTAGTTGTTTAAGATGGGCCTTTTCATTGTTTAAGGTGAGGTTTTTGTCACATACTGCAGGGTGACAAAGCATGACCCATTGTAGAGTCTTGCATACACAGAAAGTAGTTCAGAGTGCTACAAACGGTTCTGCTAACTGTAGAATAGGCATCAGATCAGACACATACATTGATTCTACGTCACTTTTGTTCTCTATCTCCGAATTTTACCTGATGGAATGCTATCTCCTTGTGGTTGTGCAATTCTTTTTGGCTTACTGAGCTTGACTTGCTGATAATGGTAACTGGGAAAGGCTGATAATATTTGCATAGTCAGCAGTAAGAGATTTTTCTTCCCACATTTCCTTTTTTCTTCAACCAGCAGCCTTGCATGTGCGCATGAAAGTCCAGTAGCATGAGTTAGTCTTACATGGAGAGCTATTGTTAGGCAATTTTAGGTGAGTTATGAGACCACAAAAAAAAAAAAAAAAAAAAAACTGATCACATCTGATTTCTCTTACTGTGAACCATGTAATTTCATGAACAGGCTCTCACAGTGATACTGCTTTATGACAGCACAGTTTTGGGGGAAGGGGGGGAGTTGTTGGACAAGTTTCTGAATTTCTTGTAGACTGCCTTAATCTTTCTGAGTGTTTACTTTCAAGTTGCCAAAAAGGCTGACAAAAATGGAATGCCTGAACAAGCTTGTAAATGCCTTGGGTATTCTGCAGCTGGCCTTTTCTCTGCAATGATCTCAGGAAATGTTTTATTGAGTTTTGTGGGGAGGTCACCCAGCACTAAGGGGGAACTAAGCACTTCTGTCTACCAGGATCTGTACAGAGCTTAAATGCTGCCTATTGAAAATATTTAGACAATGTGTAGTCAGTGACTAAAAATATCACACTGTTCTGAGAGCCATTCAGATTGCCACTATAATTCTGATGACATTTCAGCTGTCGGTTAGTGATATAACCCCCTCCAAACCAAGTCCTGACTATAGGATACATGTTCCTTGCCTACACAGGAAAGCAAGCTCCAATGTGATACCCACCTGTTATTTCATTCTTCAGTAGCTAGATGAAATCTGAGTGCAGTTAATTGAGTTGATTGTCTCAAAGTATGATTGAGGGTTTTTAAAATTCTTTAAAATTTTTGAATATTATCTGAAATTATTTTTTCACTGTTACATGGTACAAATATTTTATACCTTTCAAATAAAGCAGCTGATGTAATGTAAAAATCCCTTTCCTTCCACATGCTGCTGCCTACCAGTTTTTCAAGGGCAAAGAGGAATAAATTATCTGTTAATATTATAACAAAAGCAAACAAGATTAATTCCGTGTGAATTGGTGAAGCAGTCAGTCAAAGCCCTCTGTTTCTACCTCAGTGCTAGTGTTCATGTTGTACTGTGTGAGACAGTCTTCAGAACAATACTGTGTTTCTAGGTCACTGTGGCATTAAGAGAATAGATTCAAGTCTCTGAAAACACCAGACTCTGTATACTGTGTATTGCCTCCCCCCCCTCCCCCCCATATGGTTTATATGGTTTGTTCCCCATTCTTTTCCATGCTCTGTATTTTCTCCTGTCTTTCCTGCTTCAGAATATGCAGCTTATAATTCTGAGGCTGTTTGGTGTGTGGCAACACACAAAACCTTGTCATGCACCAAATCCAATTCAGGCCAAGAAAAGTCCTGACACTATACTCTTGCTAGATCACTGAAGTATTTATAGGACAACAGTCCTGCATGTGATATTTCTTTTTCTTTGTTGCATCATGTAAGTCTGCAACCTCTTCTAAACAGCACAGTAGAATGAGGAGGTGGTAGAAATTATAGCATTTACATAGAACGTTGAGGATATTAGAAAAGGGAGCTTTTGATCAGGATGAGGCATTACATGTTGCAGTTAGATAGAGCTACTGGGCAGCTGCGTTGTTCCTTATTATCTTAGTTGTTTTTGTGTGGCTTTTGAGAGCCATTTGTGTAGCTAGTAAAATGGGATCCTCAGGAAGGTAGGCTTTCTCTGTCAAGAAAAGGTTGATGGGTCATTCAGGTTGCTTCATAATATAAAAGTTTAGAAACTTCGTAATCCATTGATGGCTTTACTGTGAAAATGAAAGCTTTTTACTATTGAGAAGGTTCTAGAAACTGAATGACTGTTTTGGTTATTACCCAATGAAGCACTGGCACAGATCTCAGTAAACTGAAGAGCGATACGCTTTGTACTGAATCATTATACCATAGTAACAACTTCAGTGCTTCTTTAGAAATACAGACGCAGAAACCAAGTTAGGAAAAACCAATCCCTGCTCATGAGAACTTTTGCAACATTAAGAAACCGTTAACAGTCATTCTTGGGATTTTTCTGGAACACCATGGGGTCATGTAACATAACAGAAAGCATAGCAACAACAGCAGAGCAGCAAGGTCCTAGGCTACTACAGCAAATAAAGACTTGCTCAAATGCAACAGTCATAGACACAGAATTAAAGGAGAGAAATTGCTTACCTTCAAAAGACTTCAGATAGGCAGGGATCTCCAGCAAGATACTCCTTACCTCCACTGCCAACCCTTAAATGAGCTCTGGGAAGGGGTGGATCCTGGCTCCACTCCTTCCGGTCACTCAGGTGCATTGCATACACCTGAGCTCCCCTAGGATGGTCCTCCCTTCCCACCAGGTCCTCAATCACTGGTTCAGGTTATGACTTAGCATTTCTGCTGCAGGTAGTACACCTTACTGTCACATGAACATTCAAGGGTGATAACAGAAATACTTCGAGATTCTCCTGCCGTGGTTAAATCAAAAATAATGAGAAAGAACTAGGTCTTCTCTCCTGCCTGTCACTTATTCTAATCTTTCATGCTGCTGTCTTATGATTTGCATTTCATACTGGTATTTCCTTTTTAAAGCAATTTTCTGTTCCTGTTAATTGTAACGTTACAGATAAAGCAAAGGAGAACACTTAAAACCTTTTTTCTGAAACGCTTTATCAATCACTTGATCAGAAAAATGCATTTAAAATGCTAATGCATGCAGAGGTAAAATTTAAGTAACTGCTGCTAATAGTGGTTACAATGAGGTGCATTCACTTCCTTTGGCATTTGGGAGCATGTGGAAACAGCACAAACCTGAAGATAACTGCTCACTATGAAACCTATTACTATTACCAGATTCATTTTCATACCCAGAATGACATACGTCTGTTCTGTTTAAATACAGTCACAGTCTAACTTTTGTAGATCCTAAAGCAGGAGTGGAAGCTGCTGTAAGCTCTCTGCATTCGTGTTTTGTTTTGGCCAAGATTTTCTGTCAGTAACTGTATCTTTTCATGCTGCTTAGCAGTCTAACACTGCGCTGAGGTTTGGACCTCCTGTAGCTATTGCCACTCCTGTAGCTGTGCTGAATATTGACAGGCTAGGGGGTTCACAGTTCCAAAACCTTTGTGAATTGGGATTCAGGGCTGCCCTGCTAGAGATGGGAAGAGCTGTCTATCCAAGGTGCAGTTTTTGACCTGGAACATATATTACACTCCTGCTCCTTGATGGCTTTGTTCTGTAAAGGGGTAGTAAAG